TTCAAATATTCACCGGGCATGTTACCTACAACCCCTTCATATATATATATATATATATATATATATATATATATATATATATATATATATATATATATATATATATATATATATATATATATATATATATGTATGAACTTACGGTTACAGCTCAACAGCTACCGCTGGCCTCTGTAGCTTAGTTGGTTACAGCGCTGCACCGGAATCGCAGGGCCGTAGGTTCAACTCCTACCAGAGGACCTTGTGCTGCATTTTTCGCAGTCGTTCCTGGTTAGGTCTTAAAATGTATATATACTCACTTGGATTACAAACCCTAACATTCTAATATATATTTTTGTCTTCCTTTCAGTGGTCATCATGGCTTGCAAATTCGATCACAACTTCAGAAATTTCTTTCTTCGGCCTATCCACATATTTCCTTACGTGTCGTCTTTCGTCCTTCATTCCGTCTTTCCAACTTCTTTTCATTTAAGGGCAAAATTCCCTGCGAATTGAGATAGCATGTTGTGTATTTGTATAAGTGTCAATGCTGTGGTGCATTGTATGTTGGTCAAACTCGCCGACACGTACACAAGCGTATCTCTGAACACATGGGTGTTTCAACCTTGACTGGAAAGAAACATTCTGTTTCAACCATGTCAGACATAGTCGCTCGTATCGATACCACCAAACATCAAATTTCACCCTCTGATTTTAATTAAAATCCTTTCTAGTACTACTTCTGAAGCGGATTTACTCAATCGCGAAAGCCTCTTCATATGCAAGCTTAATCCTATTATAAATGCCAACATTAGGTCAACTCCTGTTGACCTATTCTAATGCTTTGCCAGGTCTCTAATTACTAACCATCATATCTTTATTTTACTAATGTTTTTAATGATAGGTTGTTTTTCATTCCTTCCTCTTATTCGCTTATTTGAATAGTGTAACTGTTTAAAAATTTGTATATATATAATACATGCTTGTAAATAAGTTTAATTGCTCTGAAGATATTGTGAACAATACAACGAAACGTTAGCTAATAAATTTATATTTTTGTTATGTCTTGCCTGAAAGTCAATAGCTGGGCTTTAATTTTCATTTTTAAATTATGCTTTCCATGCACCCGCCGGAGTATGTGATTGTTTAAGGCAATGAGAATGGGAAAATGGAAAAAAATCCAAGATGGTGGGATATTTATTTCTTTTTGTCTGCCGTGAATGAGGCACTATAACTGGTCATTTGACATAAATGCATTGTGAATAATACCTGGCATCTTTGGTACAGCGTAAAATACAAGTGATTGGTTTTCTGTAACAAACAGGCAGGTTAGCGAAAGCATAATGCTTGTATCGTATAATAATTCCAAAAATGTTACATCTTCCATTGCTTTGTGGAATGTTCTTTGACCATTTTATGACAGAAATTAGTGGAGTGCTTTTTGTGTTAACCACTCAGATCAACTACCCAGTTCTAGATAAGAGATTTAAACATAGAAATAATCCGCGAGGCAACGGCGTCAAGTTTATATTAAGACTAAATTAGGGTAGACTAATAAGATTAGATTAGGATCATAGGTCAGAGTCGGGGTTATGTTAGAGTCAGGGTTCAACATGCAACGCGAATTTATTGTATAAATTAATTCGAATGTGCATGTTTAACATTTTATTCATATGTTTGATTCAAATGTAGAGCTCATGCTGACGTATACTGTCCATAGCTACTGCTTTTCCTTAAAAACAATGAAATAGGGTTTTACTAACTTTGTATCTTAATTAACAAAACTTTTTTTTCAGTTTAGATGTGAATATTAAATAGTTTTTAATATTATTTAAAAAAGAAGATTCGTACTCCCCGCAACCGCGCGAAATTCCTCGCCACAAAAATGGGAAGAACCAAGATGCCCTTATAAATTTGCCTTTTTGTGGAGATAAAATTTTTACTGAGAAAAGATAGGACTACATATTCCATATCTATTATTTATGTGGATTTAACAGACTGCATGTATAACAAGCGTATACAGTTTTGGCACAGGCTAGCTAGGAGCAAACTCACACACAAAGATACGGCCACATACAAGACAGATAAACACCACAAACGCCAGTCCACCTAAAGAAAATACAATTATGCAGTTAGAAAGAAAAAATGATAAATAGACACCCAGTTTGCCAGATAGATAACTCTCAGATAGGTGAGCAGACAGAATAACAGACAGACAGAAATACAGATTGACAGATAGACAGAAATGCAGACAAACAGATCTAACTTAACTATCTGTACTGTCATGCTAGAATTACTGATACTAAATTTATATGGTATGTTTTAGATGGCAATGGAACAATAAGTATAGTCTCACAAGCCGCAACTTTTTATGCTGTTCGTGTTACGATGCCTACGGCTGGTGTATGGAACTTTAGTATAATTGCATTCGGACCATTTACATTTCAAGTTACAGCACAAAGTACTTTGGCTTTTGCAACAGTTTTTGAAAAGGAAGAATATTCAAGCGCTTTTGGGAAGATGCTTGTACCAATACCAGGCAACCCAATTAAAGGTAGGATGTAACTTAATTGTGCTGTAGTAAGTGCTAATGAATCATGATTTGCCGGTTGCCAAACCTCCATATTTTTGCGCGGTTAGCACAAAGAATCTTGGGACACAATATATTCACATATAGTAGTTCGCATTTGTAGAAAAAAATTACATTTTTAAGTATTTATTATGATCAGAAATGGATTTACACTCATTGCCGATTGGAAGTCGCTGTTCGTGGAGACTGTAATTGGTTTTATAGAGTGATTGCTTTAGCAATAGACATCAAAAGTAATAATTATAAGGATTCTGCGAATGTTCGAGCCATGGCTAACAATATATAAATGCTTTAACACTCAACTACGTTTCACGGCTTTCACCCGTGTTTATTTAATCATATACTACGATTGGGGAATCATTTAGAGAAAAGCCTTGACTCAGGTACTTGGGGAGAAACCATCGATATATTTGCTTGTTCAACGGCATTGCAACGTTCGATATGTGTTTACTCAATGTTGGATCAGAAGAAGAGTCGATTTGATCCCCGTCATGTGTTACCGCTTGCATTAAATAGCCCAACTAAGTGTGACTGTGCTATGTACTAAGTGTGACTGTGTGACTGATCTGTCGTTTGTTGGCAACATTTTCTCACGAAATAGGCGCTGTTGCATCCAGCTGTCGAGGTCAATGAACATTCCAACTTGGGTGGTTGAGTTCGACTCCATTTCTGATCCAACAATGAGTAAACACATATCAAACGTTGCAACGCCGTTGAACAAGCAAATTATATCGACGGTTTCTTCCCAAGTACCCGAGTCAAGGCTTTTCTCCAAATGCTACTATATGAGTAAACAAATGCAGGTTAAACGTAGTTAAATTCTGAAGCATTTATATGTTGTTTATACACATCGCACATGGCTCGAACATTCGCAAAATCCTTCTCTCTATAAAAGCAATTACCGTCTTTATGTCACAACAACTTCTTTTACCATTCGGCAATGAGTAAAATTTATTTCTGATTATAATAAATATTTTAAAATAATTGTTTTTAAATCGAACTGCTATGGTCAATATATTGCATGTGTTTACCCCCTGGCGATCCCAAAATTCTTTGGGCTATTCGCGAGGAAATACGGCGGTCTTGCAACAGTTAAATCGTTCAATGATAGTGAAACAACTGAACAATACCACTGAAATTAAAAGCAAACAGGTTTCTCGTCTTTGAAATTTAACGTTTTCCTCCCAGACTTCCTTAAATTTCTGTTACGTAGATATTATCGGGCGAGGGGGTGAATTAAAAAAGTTGGGAGGCCGGGAGGAGGTGAATTAAAAAAGTTGGGCCCCTTTCCTTTCGAGGCCTCCTCTAACAATATTTTCCCGGAAAACAAAATATTTTCCGGAAAATGTTGGCAACGGGGAGGGGGGAGGGAGGGGAAGTCGACATCCTTTTCCAAAAATGAGATAATGGGGCTTAAATATAGTTTTTCAGACCATTTACGAAAACACGTTCCGCAATTCCAGCATTCCGGTGCCTCATCTTGGCAAGTTGGGCCCCTTTTTTACTTTTCTTTGGGGGACCCTACACCCCCCAGCCAGTAAACACCAAACAGCAAACTTTTTAACATAAAACCTGGGCGCATTGAGGGCCTAAACGTATTAAAAGACATGTACAATTAGAAAGATAAATGTATTACAATATTTCTTAAGCGTCAAAATTGCTCCGAATTGACTGTAGATTTATACATTCCCTAAAGACATGGAAGGTTACTATCTAATAGCAGGGTTCGTGCTACGCCTTGAAGTCCTTAAATACTACTTAAAGGAATTTCTGACTCTAAAGGGCGCTTGAAAAGCCCTTGAAATTTGCAGTTTTGTAAAGACTCCTTTAAATACTCCTTACATTTCTGTCAAACATAAATTCATATTTTCGCTAAACGTAAAATCCATACTATAGCGCCAAAATATAGTCGGTGACCATGAAAATTAATGTGAATGAATATAGAATGTTACATTAAGTTGAAAATTATTAACAAACTACACAGTGGGCTTGGATATTTAAGAAACTACATTGCAGGCTCGGATTTATCGCCATTTTATTTCATTTCATTGTTTAAATATGAGTGAGTGAGCGAGCGAGCGAGCGAGCGAGTGAGTGAGTGTGTCGTTTATTTCATAAATAATGTATTAATAAACATGCCTGCAGGAGGGAAATGTATTTTCAATTCGGACTAGCTTACAAATAACGTACACTTACAAAGCATGGCTGAAAAGTGTGGTGAAGGATGACAAACATGCTGCGTTTTGCAAGGTGTGTTGCAAAAAGTTTAGTATAGCGCGAGCATGGGAAAGTCGGCCTTAAAGTCCCACATCGATAGAGCAATGCATAAAAAAACATACTTTCTCGACTATATAAGGCAACAATTCCTATCAATACACGTTTTATATCAACAAGCAATCAGCCTGTATCTGGTGCTGCTGAAAGTTCTGCAGAAACAGTTTCCAGTCCAGCCGGCGGTGGCAGTGGAAGTCGTGAAAACAATGTCAGCTGCACTGATCAATCCAAGCGTTGCTCAGCCTTCGGACCTACACCATCTATCAACGTACCTTGGTAAAAAGCTGCTGACGTCGAGATACTGTGGAAATTAAAATGTGTCCATTCACATTTTTCCGCACATTCAAACATGGGTATGAATAATTTGTTCCAAAAAATGTTTTCCGATAATCATATTGCACAAACGTGCTCCCTGTGTGAAACAAAATACAGATACATGACAACATTTGGACTTGGTCCGTTTTTTTCCAAAAAGCTTATGGAAGACATAACCAACTCCCCAGCCAATTCTGTTTTATTTGACGAATACCTTTTGATGTACTGTATATGGGCGCTATTGGTCTAATGAAAGCTGCCACGTGAAGTCCTGTTACCTTACATCATTATTCATAGGACATGACAAAAGGGCAGATCTACTTAATCACTATGATGAAGCTACTAAAGATCTTGATCCATCAATGGCGTGGCACATTGGTATGGATGGTCCCAATGTAAATCTTGCATTTGAAAAGAAGTTGAGAGAATCTCGTGAAGAGTTTAATTTAACTCTTAGAGCAACTGCCTGTAAAAACTGAGAATCTCAAATCAAATGAAAATATTCGAATTTTTTTTTATTCCACCAAATCAACCTATTTAGTAGTGTTCCCACAATGGAAAAAATACTAAAAACTGGTGCGATTTTTTTTCCTGTAAGATTTTTACAAAATCCTGATTTCAGGGCTTCATTTTCATGCTCGAACAGGCTGACATTTAACCCAACTGTAAGAAAGGACAGACGGATAAATATGAAACCGATGAACTCCATATTCCTAACATGTTTCAAGGTACTATCAGAGTTTGCTACTGACTGTTATTACGATCCTAAGTTTAATTGTTAATCTATTATGAATTTTTATGTGCGATCCCTTTTCGAAGCCTCGCAAAATATACAAAAAATGGCTAAGTTTAATGGGTATAAAACGTTTCTGGTACTTAAAACTTTGAAACAAAAATTGCAGCATCTAAAAGCCTGATTATTGCTTGCTATATCACAAAAGTTTCATGCTTGGGATCGAAGTGGTTTTGCATTTAAAAATAAATGTGTGAAGTAAGATATACCAAATTAGGACGTCACGCCAACCGGAGCGTATAGCTAAACAGACGTCTAGCCATGGAAAAAATAGGTACGCCAAGCGTACATGTATCTGCGAACAGCGCCACAATGAGAGATCCGACTTATTTAGATTGTAACAGTAACAGACAACTTAACCCATTAAGTGCCAGCGCTCCCCTCTTGATCAGTAAAATCGTCTGGCTTAAAGTAGGGTGCATGATCAGGGCGCAATGCGACTTGATGGGTTAAATATATCTCCTTTACAGAACGTAAAAATTCACAACATAGATAAAAGTTAACAAGGTCATTATTACCTTGGTCAGATGGGGAGCATGTTGAGTGACAATGGCATGAATTTAACGCACTGAGTGACAGCAATTTCCCCCTGACGAATAAAATTGTCTGGCGTTAGAGTAAAATAATAGAGTAATTAATACTAAAACTGATATTTGCTGTGTTGGTGTATTGTACTCAGGTGAATAAGATGCTTGTGATGTTACTCTCTGAGTGTGTATCCACACTGGGCAGACTTGAAAAATATGCCTGGCCACGGTCCACACCGGGCAGGCTAGAAAAATATGCCTAGCCACGGTGGGAATCGAACCTACGACCTTTGGAATACTATTTCGAACCGACCTGACCGCGTAGCTCAGGTGGCAGATCATTGGGCTAGTATTTCAAAGGTCGTAGGTTCGAATCCCACCGTGAACAGGCATATTTTTCAAGCCTGCCCGGTGTGTATATACACTCAGAGTAACATCACAAGCATCTTATTCACCCAAGTACACTACACCAACACAGCAAATATCATGATTACTAGATTACACTGATATCGAAGGAACTAGACTCAGTACACTCAGAGTAACATCACAAGCATAATACTAAAACTGTCTGTACCAGTGTGGGTAGTACCAATGTGAAATTGATGTGCTGAGTGGTTATATTACTATCTGAAATAACAAAACTGCTTGTATATTTCAGGTAGTAGGCTAATATAATCACTCAGCACATTAAAATAATAGAGTATGCCGCATTGCCTCTTAATGGGTTAACAGGGTTCATGGGCAGATACTCTAATTAATTTATAACTAGAAAAAATACATGTATGCAGAAACCCTCGCCTTGCTGACAAAACCATTGTATATTCCGAACATGAAGTTTCTAAAGTAGTTGTCATGGTAACACGATATTTTTTTAGAATATTCTTACAAATGAAAAATCGCCTAAAAATATCACTTCTAATTACAAAATTATCAATTTCCCAACATATATATGTTAGGTATGTTATTATCCGTAATATAAGCTTCAATTGAAGGTAAAATTCAACCACAAACGCTTCGCAAAACGTTTTAAAGTGTTCTTTCAACTTCTTTATAAAAATAAACTGCCTTTAAATAAATGGCTTTATCGATAAACTTTGAGTTGGCAATAAAATGATTTCAAATTCTCTCTTGCAAATGACTTTGCTTTCTTTTTAATTTAAAAAAATTCAATATAATAAAAAAGGGAATCAATGTTATTAAAGATACACTGAAATTATTTGCTGTCTTGTAATAGTTGTTAATAGTTGTTAGTTGTTTCATATACGCAAAGGCCGTCGGGTTTTAAAGTCATTATAAAATCAATATTTAAAACAAACTTACCTTCGTTAATGTCGGCTCCCTTTTCTCCCCTCTTTACGAAATTTACAAAATCTTGCCAAAATGCGAGCAAAAATGAAATATATGTGCAAGAAATCAATCAATCATCAAATCAAGAAATGAAAAAATGTTTGCTATTTCGCTGTCGTCGAGTGTATCTAAAAGTCGAGGGTCGAGAGTCGAGAGTAAAGGTCGAGAGTCGAGAGTAAAAGTCGAGAGTCGAGAGTAAAAGTCGAGAGTCGAGAGTAAAAGTCGAGAGTTGAGAGTAAAAAGTCGAGAGTCGAGAGTAAAAAGTCGAGAGTCGATCGAGAGTAAAAAGTCGAGAGTCGGCAAATGTCATCAGAAACAAAGTCAAAATATTTTTATTTTTTAACCACGTTTAACACTATATATATAGCTTTACATAGCCATTCCGTAACAAGTACCAACGGCTGAAATACAAACTTTCCAATAAATATTGCTACAACAGTCAATAATCAGTGGCGGAAATTCACTTTTTCCGGTGTGGGGGGGGGGGGCAAAGCCTCCTAAATTTCCGACAAAACTTTGAAATTTCCGACGTACCCCCCCCCCCCAATTTGCACTCGAAAAGACTGTTTTTAGCCCACTTTTAGAGGGTCTGTCTGAATGGGGTTAACTGACTACTGACATTTGGCTGAATTTTTGACTGACAACTGACAAAATATCCTAACTGACAACTGAGAAATGATGAAAAAGTGATGAGTCAGCATTTTGCAGTAACTGACTACTGACAGCTTGCAATATATCGCACTGACAACTGACAACTGGCTTAAATTTTAGCTGACAACTGACACCCAAAGACCCCCATTAAGACCCTCCTTTTAGATCAAAATTTCCGAAAATTCGTCAATTTTCCGGAAGGTGGGGGGGGGGGGCGGCCCACCAAGATTTCCGCCAACGTCAATAATAATAACGTGATAACAAAAACAAAAAAGATTGTATAAGAAAATAATATCGCATTTGATGCCTCAATCTTGCTAAATGTTTTCACATGTCATTTCATTCTAACTGACATGCACATAAACTCCGCTGAATTTTGACAGCCATCTCCAGGCTTGTAACTAAAATGTCACTTATTCATTAACGTACGTTTATATCAAACGAGAGCGTATTAAGAAATCCACGTTGATCACAATCTAACGATTCATACAATTGTGAATTCATAAATACGAGCCAGTAAAAATAGGATTCTTTTGTCGTATGTGCGACTCTATCGGGTGGTAATATGTCTCGCACGTAATTGTAAAGTCCTAGTATTTATATGTAGCTTCACATATGAGTAATTTTTCGCGGAAATAGGTGCATGTAAAGCGGGAAGGATGGACAGTAATATATAAGGAAGCGATAAAACTAGTTATTAGATAATAGTTATTTGATTATTGAATGTTGTGGCTAAATTTTTGCGAAAGTTTTTGTTTTATATTGTACTGGATTATTCCTTTGATTGCATGTATATGCCTCTTGTTTACTTTAATTTCGAGAATTTGAGCATACTAAATTATGTTTCGCAAATATTGTTTGCTTTATGTTCCGATACACAGGGAATGAAAGGTTCAGCCGTCATAGGCGTACGGGCGGGAAAAAACAGGGAGCCAGAAAGAAATTTACCCGACTTTTACCCACTGAATAAAATTTTCCGTGTAACTAAATTTCCAAAATTGTCGTTGGGAAGTAGACAAAATATTTTCCTATTTGTCGATTCCTCGTTACTTTTACATATTTCTGGTATTTTCAAATACCATATTGCATATACTGTCTTCTTTTTAAATTTATTTCCCCCAATTTTTGGCCGAATTTATTTTGACTGGGGTGCGGGACTGCCTCCCCCCCCCCTCGCCCGTACGGCTATAATCAGCCGTTGTTACGGATCGCTTATATATTGTGTTACTGTAAAAGTATTTTGACTTTGTTGTTTCTGATGACATTTGCCGACTCTCGACTTTTTACTCTCGATCGACTCTCGACTTTTTACTCTCGACTCTCGACTTTTTACTCTCGACTCTCGACCTTTACTCTCGACTCTCGACTTTTACTCTCGACTCTCGATTTTTACTCTCGACTCTCGACCTTTACTCTCGACTCTCGACCCTCGACTTTTAGATACACTCGTTTGCTATTTCGCTGTCGTCATGCAGTCGTTATAATGCAATCTTTAAATTGGACCAATCAGTATCCGATATTCATGACAGTCCGCCATATTTTTGAGATCAGTGGGGATGACCACCCATCGTTGGTGACCCACGCCCACGATAATTGAAGAACCTTAGACTTCGCTAATGTTTTCGTTTCCCCAGGTGTAAATAGCCGGGGGGAATTAGTACCCTCGCACGGCGCTTCGAGCCGTCGGCTCGGGGATAACCAATTGAGTGGAAGCACTCTCCCCCTCACGAGTAAAATCATCTGGCATTAGACAGAGTAAAATAATAGAGTAGGCCACATCAGAGCACATTGTCACTTATTAAAATGCATTCAGTGCATTAAAATGCATACAGTGCATCATTAAAATATGTGTTGACATTTGATGTATTATATGATGCTAACATTGTAAAAGGTATAAAATGTGAATTTAATTAAGGGAAATTAAACATCAACCTGTGGCATCTCTACAGAAACTATTAAACCATCCACAATACTCCCAAGCTAGGTTTCTCAAACTGCAAATTGCCAGAACCGAAATGGCCAGCCAACCACGGGTAGAAACACTGACGTTAAGTCCACAACTGTTGGTACAATTGAATTACTGTTCAGCCAGGGCATGGAACACAGATCGGCAGTACGTGGTGCTTCATCTCGCAGAATGTCTTTCTTTAATGTATCATTTACCTGATAATCGGCTGAATATACGGACTTCATACTGTGTCGCGTCACAACGTTCCTAATTAATTTAAAAACACAATATTTTGATCGCGTGTACAAACCTCATGTCGAATTTCGCAGCCAGCGCTAGCGAACGGCGTACCAAACCTTTTGATTAGCGATACGTTGCGTTTACAGAATGTGATGTTTTTTGCTGTTGTTGTTTTCTTTCTACATCTCACTCGATTCAATGAATTTTTAAATGTTAAAGGTTTTCGTTGATGGATAATTCGAACCTCGAATCGCATATATTCGCCTCTCTTTGCATCCATAGACCATCAAAACAGATGATATATTGCCACCGCTAATTGGCTAGAACTAGAAGCAAGAAAGTCCACTAACTAACGTGTCTGCTTATTGGCTAAATCACTAAATGTCACTAACTTACACGCACTGTAGCATAGTATCTGCACTCCCAGATACAAAAAGAGGTAGTTAAAACATTCTTGAGAATTAAGTTTGGTAGGTTATAGCGTTGGAAGAATACAAAGAATATGACTACGGATGCAAGTTTCGAGATTTTGAGCTTTTCAATCGATAAAACAGGAGTAGCCTATAAAGTGTTAAATGTCTTCAATACGCTGATCTGGCTCGCTTAAGCGGGATGAGTGTTAGGCCCTATTGCTCTGTTCATGTACGCGAATATATTGCTGTAAATAAGATTTTCTCGACAGATTTCAATGTTCAAAGGTCCTTGTGAACACCATTTAGACTGAGGGCGATAACAGTGCAAGTTTTTCGCGAAAGTGTGGAATTTCATGTTCGTGAGAAAATATATTTATGTTATACTATTTATAGCGGTGAGCCCGGCTAGCGTTATAAAAAGCAAATTTCTGTGCTTAAATCTCATGTATAAACACGGACTAAAATTACCTCAGGTACCCAGGCATACCAAAAGCACGTTGTGTTTGTAACGTTAAAGTAATTCCGCAGTTTTGCATTGCGCACTTTTACTGCTCACATCTTATAACTTATCATTTCATCCATTACACGTACCAGGTTTAAAAAAAATCATTTTATGACAATTTTATGTTACTTCAAAACATCTTTGGTTACATGCGTGCAAAGAATTACGTTAAAATCAATGTTTTCAAAAAAGGCATACAAAAGTGTAGCTAGGGTTCCTGTGTCTGTAGTATATTTATTTACTTGTATTTCACGTTTTAATGCCACAATTCCCTAAAAAGATCGGTGACCCCCGTTTTTTAACTGATAATTTATATCTTTAATACATTTTACATTTCATATCCGAAATTAAAAGAAAAATCATTTCTGGATCTTGAAATAAAATCCCTTATCACTGCATGTTCTGAAAGAAAGATATGTAAAAAAATGTGGAAAAGACCTTTGTGGATCAGATTGTACACATTAGTAGTATCATTTTGCTCAAAACACAATATTTTTCAAAAATAATTACAAGATAGGTTTATTAAAGCAAAATCCGCGCTAAAAACGTAAATAAATATCGGGCTGTTGTGATTTTGCTGTTACTCGTAATGAGCGTCAAGATGGCGCCATATTGGGGTAAAGGTGGTATATTGTGATTGTCATATCTTCTTAACGAGTTCGGTGACCCCGACTTTTTTGTGTTATTTTAATTTAAGTATATCATAAACTCCATGCCAGGGAAGTTTCAGCACATTCTCATTTCGGGATCAATTACTGCGGAATTACCTTAAAAGAGTATAAAAGATATTTCCGATCACTTGAAGTTTTGTAAAATCAGTGTAGCCTACTTGCTGCTAGCTTGAGCAGATAAGATTGAAATGGTTGATATTAAATATATTATAGTTATTATCTATATTTGCATCATTATGTAGAGTAGCTAATTAATATGGTATTGCAGAACAGCTGGGCATTTTGTACGGAGCATGCGCGAAAAAATCAATATGGCGACATATATTAGGAGTGCTTCGTGGATTTATCTGGTTTTAAAGCTGATAAAACAACATTTAAATGAACGAAAACTTTGTAATATTTGGTGGTAAACATTAAGCTATGCAATCCAAAGGTTTTAAATTTAAACTTTTGCTATATTTTATTGCTTTTTATGCTTTGAGAATAGACAAGCTCATTTTTTTTGAAAGAATCTAAACTAATATTTTACCCATCATTTGTTTAATCTGAACAGAAATAGATAGAACACTTGGCTCCATAAGTTATAAACGGAATTGGTAGCTGATCTGAAAGATTTCAGTATTCCTGGTACACATTTTGACAAAGAATGACTGTAATTTTAAAAATTAAATATGCATATCAAAAACAATAGTTTTTATTAGAACAACACAGAATAAGTTGTTATTTTCCATTTTTACAAAAAACAAGTTTGGGAACAGAATCTAGTCCTCCAGCTTGATGTCATATTCCATTTATTTGGATATTTGAATAAAGGAATATGAAATAATAATTGAAACTTGTCCAAAATTTGATACCAACACTCAAGTGAACAGATACTATCACCTAAAAATAAAAGAAAACAGATCTTAAATTTGTCATATAATGTTATGAAAAAATCTTAGATACTACAGGCATATAGTGAGCACAATTCTTTAGCAAACTCACTAAAATAAGTTAAGTTATACTATGATAAGAGGATGGCAATATATGACAACATCAAATGTTACCATCTTCAGTGTCCAAAAAAAGTGCCGCGCGCATTTTTCCCAGCATACCCACTAACTTTTCGATGAAGGTTGATTAATAAGGATAGTTTTAAGCCATATTTCGGAGAGAGGCAATGGGCAAAATTTTAAGATATTTTTATTTATATGCCATATCACCCCAGAATTTCACAAAGCAAGGATGCCTCTATTCAAAATTGCCGTTAGACTCAACTGAACAAATCAATGCGGCATTTCTTATCTCATAACAACCAATACTTGAACATTTTCAAAATCATTTTTGCAGCAATTTTTACTTTATAACAAACCAATACAGGAGCAATTTCATAAGCATGTGACAACATGACATTTTCATTTCACAAGTGAATTTGCCAATTACAACATCTAGCACATTTTCCCCATGAATAGCTCAGGTTTTAATAAAACAAAGTATGATTTAACTTTCATAAAATATATTTTCTAACTAAAGGCAACGGCCAGATTTTACGAAATTGCAAGAGGAATATGTGTCATTTTCATCAAAATATGTATTTTAAGACACTTATTGTTCCAGATGAGGAAGAACAAACAAAATATTGAACATACCTGTGGAAACAACAACAACTCAGCTTCTATCAAGAGTAAAATATGAACACTTCCTTGTTTCCATACTGCTGTACCCTGCTTCTGAAACTCTGGCAATGAGTGAAACATTTCCACTTGTCGCCCTTTTGTAAAAATAAATTCTTCGCACGTTTTCATGCGAATAAGTCGTTATATCGTTGCGTACAAGCACTACAACTTAATCTTTCAAGAAACACTTTATTTTCCATGAAGAAACCAGTAAAAGAGGACAAAAAATCCTCTCACAATGCATATTTTCAGCGTTCGAAGAATCAAAATGTTTTTTAAAGAAATGCGCCCGCAATATTTAGACAGCGACAACAGAATGCCCAGCTGTTGTATTGCAGGACTATTGTTACGGGGTGTACTCAGGAGCCTGGAAGATAATTTCCCCTTAAAAATGAACACGGACACCCCGAACCACAATGTTTATGTTAGGACTTGATATTCGTAGAAACAGTATAGAACGTATTGTTATCGTCTGGATTTATGAAATAAAAAAGCTTTTTCTTGTTTAATTATACATAACATAACATGGTACCAGGAGTGAATTAAGCAGTTATTTATCGATTGGAAAGTCTATTGTGCAGCAGCAACTCCGTGAACTCGCGCAAAACGAGGCGAAAGTGTGAAACATTCGAGGAGATATTGTAAAAATATTTTAAATATGTCGGACCATGATGAACCGACAACATCGATGGCGTCTCAGGAGGTTAAAGTGATACAAATTCCGTTGAATTTGCCCATGCTACCGCAGCTGGCCATGACAGGTAATCTGGAAACGAATTGGAAAAGGTTTTATCGCGCGTGGAACAACTACGAAATAGCAGCACGTCTGAGAGATCCGAATAACCCTAGTACAAATAAAGAACTAAGAACAGCCACTCTGTTGACGTGCATTGGAGCTGATGCTCTTGATGTGTTTGACGGACTGGACTTTGCGAATGAAGACGAGAGAAAGGACATCGATATTGTCGTAAGCAAGTTGGAAAAGTATTTTATTGGAGAGACAAATGAGACGTACGAACGGTATTGTTTTAATAAAAGAGATCAAAAGTCACACGAAACGGTTGATGCTTACTTCGCAGCCCTTCGTACTTTAGCCAAGACTTGCAACTTTGGTAATTTGGAAGACAACTTGATAAGAGTTCGTATTATCATGGGTATTAAGGACAACGCCACACGAAAGAAATTATTGGAAGTCTCAAAGCTTACTCTGCAACAAAGTATAGATACAGTTCGGTCTTGTGAAAAGACGGCGAAGCTACTCGAATCGATTAAAGATGAAGGTGAGCAAGTGTTGGCTGTTGGAAAAGAACAGTACAAAGAGCAAAGGAAGCGAGTCGAGAAAAGAAATGAAGAAATGTTAATCAAGTGTAAATTTGGCAACAAATCTCATCCCAGAGGTAGGTTCAAATGCCCAGCCTGGGGCAAAACATGCTCATTGTGTGAAAGAAAGAATCATTTTGCTGTCGTCTGTAATGCTCAACGAAGACCATTTAGCCAACGAAAGTCAGTATCGGGCGTCAACGATGATACAGAATCATCAGAGGGAGAATATATAGCTCTGGTGGAGACCAAAGAAGAGGTAGGTGCAGTTAACTCTGATAAATACACCTACAAATCAAGTGCCCCCTTGATGATTAACAAAAACCTAGAAAATTTTCAACTTGACAGTGGAGCCACAGTAAATGTATTATCTAAAAGGACACTGGCAGGTTGTTTTCGAAAGCCTATTGGGAAGAAGCTGGTGAAAACAAACACAAGCCTTGTAATGTACAATGGGTACGAAGTGAAGCCTATTGGAAAGACAAGGATTCAAGTTATTAATCCTAAGAATAACAAGAAATACAGTGTAGAGTTTATGGTAGTGGAAGAGAATTGAATGAACTTACTTGCAGTTAACAAAGAGAACATTTTTACTACCGAGTCAAATGTCAAAGATGTACCCAAGTTTATCACCAATCAGCATCTCATTGAGGAGTATCCAGCATTGTTCCAGGGTCAAGGAACTTTACCGGGCACATTGCATTTGGAGATTGATGAATCCATCTCCCCCAGTCCAGCTCCCAACACGAAGGATTTCACTGGCTGTGAAAGATAAACTCAAAGCAGAGCTCAACCGACTAGTCGATATGAACGTCATAGCTCCT